TAGAAATCATTTCTCAGCAAATGAGTTTCTACGAAAGATTCATATTTAATTAGTATTTGTGGGACCATAAATCTCTTATATCATATCATTTTATATAATATTGGATATGATTTGACCGCCCCAAATTACGCGTAAGTCCTTTACACAAAAAGAATAAGATGCTCGTCCAGAATGACGTAATAAATTTATACTTCCAAGGGAGTATCCATCGAGCCGCCCGCGTGCCTAGATTCAAGCGGTAGATCCGGCAAAGACTGCCGAAGAACGCCTCACTGAAATTTCGCCGGCCTCACCACAGGACCCCCATGGCTTTACCAGAACTTCTAGGCAAGTATTGGAAAGATCAAAAGCAGCAAGGCTCCAACCAATGCATGAACTCGCACTCTTGTCTTCACTTGTATGCACTTGCTCTGCACAATTCTGGACGACCGGATCAATCCAGAACAAGAAGCCTGAAAGACACAAGTGAATTAGGAATGCTTCTTTGGGGCCAACTTGCAGTCGAATTGCAGCAAGACGAAGCGGGCAGTGGTGGCTTTCTCAGATGGAGGACCTGGGTGCAGTAGGGCATTTTCATGTAACAGCTGTCTGCAAGCTAGGGCTCGCGGATACTGCAGGCATACAAGAAGCGAGAACTTGTACAGAGTTTGCGAAGTCTGTGCTGTGCGTTGAAACGAGCTTGCTACGAAAAGCTCCCTGTACAGAAGCGACTGCCCCAAGCTGCTGGTACGGCTCAGACTCAGAGCAGGGGAAGTATATTTCACAGCTAACGCTGCCGAAGTCGCCCAAAAAGACCAACATCGTATGATCTTTGGGTTGAAACTTGTGAACATGTCCGATGCCAAACCACACGTGGTTGGAAGTTGGCTGTCGAACAAACGCAGAAATCAAAAGCCTGGAAACCGGGAGATATTTTCAATCGGCCACTGCAGGCTTCTTGAAATGGGCGCCGCGTCGGCAGCCCCTGTTCCCCAAAGACGCCCATCTGATTCAATGTAGTTCATGCATTCCCTAGATGCATCAGAAACCTCTTAATCTTTGTGGCCTATTCTGTCTGTAAGCTAGGAGGGCCTAGTCCCAGAGACCAGGCCCGAGTCTTTGGGGTGGAAGTTGTGGAAAGTCCGAAGCCAAACCGAACTTTGTAGAAGTTGGTTGTCGGATACGTGCAGGAATTAGGAAGCTTAGCGGTCTAAATCAGCTCAGACTCAGCTCAGACTCAGCTGTCCGCAACTCGACGTCAGAGATAGGAAAGACCACCATGCGACGACGGGCAGGGCAGAGGGGGGGTGCTTGTGCAAGCGCGTGAAGACCATAGTCAGAATATTCACCGAAGCGGCCGGCCGCCCCTAGGGTTGTTGTCTTGAATTCGGCGCAGTGCCTGTTCCGGCGCCGGCCGGCTCCGCAGCCGCTTGCGCCACCTCCTGCGCCACCTGAGTGGTGCCGTTCCGCGTGCCATTCACACAGAGCCTCTGTTGCGTGCCATCAGGTCCTTGCAGCATTGAGCGGGTCATCAGGTCCCTTGTCACCTTTGGAAGCTCAAGTCCCAAGGCTTGAATCAATCGCTGATCATTTGGGCGCTCCATGGCATCTGACTTCAAAGGCTCGGCCGTCTGAAAAGAAAAGCTGCAGAGACGAATCAATGTACCCCAAGGCATTCCTGAACCCGCGACACGAAACCAGAGTATCAGAGTGCACCACCTGGCATGTGTCCATGCAGCCCAGCATCCAAGGAAGTCATCCCTGCCAGCACCGTGACCTAGAAGATCACACGCGAAGGACCAGTTCCTGACGACGTTGCGGCTGATGTTGCAGTTTGTCGGCAGACGGCACGAAGACACAAAGACAGAAAGAAGAGCATCTGATTCTTGAGAACATCTTGCTTCACGTCGTTTGGTCTCTACAATCTGTCTGTCCTGACCAGTCTGCCACTAGCGCAGAGTCAATACGCATTCCTGGCACTCGGCTTTCGCTGCCTAGCAAGGTGTCGACACTAAAGGGTTCCAACGTAAACGAGAAAGAGGGCTGGCTGAGAATCGGGCTCTTGCCTACAGGTGCTGGTGTGGCCGGTCATGTGCGAAGTGTCCAAATCAAGGAAAACTTGCGTGTCGAAGAACTGAAAAACTGTGTCCACTATTCCGGTTGATCAGACCCAAGTAGACAAGGAAGTTGGTTATTTACAGTTGTGAGGTGTTAAGTTGCTCCAGAAGTAACAGTATCCCTGTCAACGGGGAACACGAGGTAGCTAGCCAAGTATTCCAAGCCACTCCCGACGTTAACTATCGGAAGGATCCCCAAAGTTGCTATCTCCAGGGGGTGGTAACCTATCGTTCAAGATGTATCCACTAGCCGTCCGGCTGCGTGTTGTACACCTATCCCAATATTCACCTGAACAGCCACCTGCCCTCAGTATCCTCCGGCCTCCGGCTATGAGTTGTAAAGAGAACAGATAACTATCCCAAAGGTTAGGGAAGGATCTATCCCTCGTCAACGCTCGATCCTTTTAGCTCCTCTGGCCTCCGGCTGCGAGTTGGCTAATCAGATCCACAACGTACAGGGACACTATCCACGGGGGCGAAAAGAAACTGTACAGGCGGGGCGCAGCTACACGTACGAAGTCAAGAAACAAACAAAAGAGAAAGGTGAATGAATGTACAGTGTGCTTATGTTGCTGTCTTGTTGCCCTGTAAGCCCAGACAGCAACAGCACACGAAATTCTATCCAGGCCCCTCCATCTATCCCAAGGCTCAGTGCGCTATTCCGGCTCGTCCGCGAGGAGGTCGACATCTATCCCGGAGCAAACCCGAAATCAACTGACATCAAAACAATTGCTCCCCCGAAAGTACCTGAAAGACGTGGTGCGAAACACCCCCCGTGATGGGGGCGTCAGCTCGCAGAGTGACGTCTCCCAGCATAAACGATGAATTCGCGAATCCTCGTCCGGTTTGCATCAGACCTTCAACACAAACGCAGGAGGGATCGCCAGCACGGTCTCCAGCCCCTTTGAGGCGCCCACCACCACCCGCGATTACGAAGACCACATCGGCGACCCTCGGAAGCAACACCGTCATCCGCAAACCTTCGTCTGAGCACACACGTCTTCGACGGTGCCCTAATACATGCACCCAAGATGTTTGCCAATCCGCATCATTGGAACATTGGTCACTCATCTTCTATCCCCTTACGCCGAAACTCAGTTCATCTCGTCCACGCACTATCCCTTGCAACATCGGCCCTTTCACTTGGTTCAGTACCCCTCCTAGACGATGTAGCCCTTTCTTTTGCAGGAGGGACTTAATGGTGGCCAGCCATGCCCACAGAAGCTGTCTGACGAGGGCCGAGAGGACTTACTGGTGATCAGCCACGCCCCTCCACTCACAAGCAGTAACCTTCGTCATTGGTTGGTCTGCGCCCGTCAGGGAACGCCCATAAGGCCAGCTGCTCGCAGTTGAAGCAGTAGCTGCGTCGCTCCCACTCATCTCACCCAGCGCCTTCTTTACGTACATGTCCTCGACGAATATATCCCCTATCCGGAAAGTCCTATCCCAGGCTTGGCTCACGCGACGAAGCAGAGCCGCGGAAGACAGCGGGCCATGGCAATCCTAACCGCTGCATCACTCCATGCGCTAGGGGCATGACTTTGCATGCGCCCTGCAGATCTATCCCTTGCCGCGCCACCTCGTCCAACGACGTGAGGAGCCATCCCACGCACATCAGCAGACGTGACGCCGTTAATGGTGGCAGGCGTCTTCCTTCTTCTCGTCGTGGTTTCTCTCGTCCAAGTGCGTCGCAACAGCGGGCACCTACTCCCACTGATAGTCGCCGCTCTGGCCGCGAGGACTTATTGGTGATCAGCCATGCCTCCGCTGCCGTGCACGCTCCGTCTCGCAGCAACATTGTCTCCGCATTCTGCAGATTTGCCATACACTGCGTTGTTATGTTCGTAGACATCGAACAGCCTCCCGTCCGGAACGTTGATCATCATGCATTGGCAGGCAGGCGCACGGCTAATCCTTCCCTCTATCCCCCCGGCCACCGGTCGTCACGTAGATGTTCGTCAGCATTTTCCTTTGCCAGCTTCCGGTTCACATGCATAGTAACATGTACTCCCCCCCGCGCACCGTATTCAGCCTCGACGTGTAATCCCTTCACTCGTGTCGTAATCTCCATGTAGTACTACGCATTTCTATCCACTCCCCCCGGCTCGCAGATACCGTGGTGACATAGACAATGTCAAAGTTGTCCTTTCCCCCCTGTGCCGGTGGTCTTTGCGTTGACGCATACATTTTCCTAGATATCGTAACTATCCCGTTTCTATACGAGCGAACTATCCGTAGACGAACTCAAACTCATAGAAAGCTCCCCCCGGCTTGTGGGCACCGCGTGGACACACACAACGTCACACATATCCCTCCGCCCCCCGGATGTCGACCAACAAAACCACACCTATGTCCTTTCTATCCCAGGCGTACTGCATTAAGATGTACAAGATTAACAATACGTCGTAGTCCTATCCCTATTCCGGAAGAGTCGGGCCTATCCCCTATACGTGTTCCTCATGCTCACAACGCTGCGAAATATCCCCTTGAGGTTGCCGTCCGCGAAGCTCACCATGCACCATACTCCCTTTGCCTTTCTGAGACGAGGTCCGACTGCTGGGCGCCAAACGTCAAGACCGGCAACGGTGTATATAGTACGCCTTGTATCCCATCCCGGGCCAGAACAGTGAAGTAGAGGACGCGAAGCTCCGATGCCTGTATCCCTCGGGGTCGAAACAGTGAAGTAAGGGACGTGAAGCTCCGCTATCTGTATCCCTTCGGGACCAAAACAGTGAAGTAAGGGACGTGAAGCTCCGATCTGTATCCCTTCGGGACCAAAACAGTGAAGTAAGGGACGTGAAGCTCCGCTATCTGTATCCCTTCGGGACCCAAAACAGTGAAGTAAGGGACGTGAAGCTCCGCTATCTGTGTCCCTTCGGGACCAAAACAGTGAAGTAAGGGACGTGAAGCTCCGCTATCTGTATCCCTTCGGGACCAAAACAGTGAAGTAATGGACGTGAAGCGCTGGTACTTCTATTCCTTCGGGAAGGTTTGAGCAGCAAAGATCTCCACTCTGTATTCCCTGCAGGTATCACAGGCCCTCCACTCTGCAGTTCCTGCTTGAAGGATCCGGGCAGCAAATATCTCCAGTTCGTATCCCTGCAGACAGAGAAGCCCTCCACCCTGCACTCCCTGCGTGCTTGCAGGATCCGGCCAGCGAAGATCTCCACTCCGTATTCCCTGCAGGCAGAGAAGCCCTCCGCCCTGCACTCCCTGCTTGCTTGCAGGATCCGGCCAGCGAAGATCTCCGCTCCGTATTCCCTTCAGATCCATGAGAAGCGTCGGGTAGCAAAGCCCCCCGCGTGCCTTTCTGCAACTCGATGACTTTTCCTGGTAGCTGTTGATGTTCCGGCTGCTTCGTGTTGGGCAGGCAGCGGCCCGCTATGACACTCCAACTGATATAGCCCCGGCGCGCAGTCATCAAGTCGACGATGGCTATCACCACTATCCCTCCCCTTTGCGACGCCGTATCCGCCCTCCAACAGCTCCTGCGTGAAAGCGATGGAATGTCATAGGTGTATTCCCGCCTTGGCTATTCTATTCCCTGACGCCTGCGTGGCAAATCCAAAATATCCCAGAATGAATCTGGCTATCCCTGCTGCACACGCTTGACTCGATGGAACTCTCCTTGCTCCCAAACCTTGACTCGACGGCAATCCCTGCTGCCAAACTTTGACTCGATGGATATCCCTTGCTCCCAAATCCTGACTCGATGGATTTCCCTTGCTGCCACATCCTGACTCGATGGATTTCCCTTGATTTCCCTTGCTCCCAAATCTTGACTCTATGGCAATCACACATTTTCCTTGCACATATACTCCCGACATGCAAATTCCGCCACAAATCGTACATGAGGAGCCCGCACTATCCCCCTGCAAGCAAGACTTGATGATATCGCCACTCTTCTATCTTCGCCATCTTGTCCTTGTCATCCGTCCGCTCGTTTCGATATGCCATTCACTATCCAAGCCCCCATCTCCCTTGGCCACCCGAGCACGTGTACATCACAATGTGCCTGCCGATGTGTCAATGCGCAGAACCGCGTCCGGGGCCAACCTCCCTGATAATCAAAGCAAACATTAGGCTCGTAGGGCATTCGCCAGACCGCTCATTCCACGCCACTGCCACACACGCGTCATCATCTTCATCATGAGCATCTCATCTGTTCGAATCCTATGTATCTCCCCCCCGTGTCCCGGGCAAACCCCCCAATAAGCAGGACCTGAATCTATCCCGTTCGCTCATGCTTCGCTTCCACTCTATCGAGCTAACCCCCCAATAAGCAAGACCTGAATCTATCCCGTCCGCTCAGGCTTCACTTTCACTCTATGCCGTCCGATCGCCAAAACGACTCAGAGTACCTCGAGTCCGTCCGGTCATATCTTCGGGCGATCCAGGCTTATCGCAGAAGTGTCTAGGCTTCTCCCAGATGTGTCCCAGGCCTGTAAATTGACTATTCCGGCCATCCAGATGTATTCCGAAACTATCCACCGGCATCCCAGAGACGTCGAAGGTTCCCGACGCCTCAGTTGCATCCCTTGTCTGTAATCATCCTATTCCCGTGCGAGCTTCAAGCCACCACCAAGCGTACTGACCGGGCTTCCGCGTCTCCCCGTTCTCAAACATCAATGCGCCGTTCGCCACGTCCGCCTGCATTCCCCGGAACATTCTGGGCCTGAATCTTGATCCAGCTCGCGCCTTCATTCCGTCGACGATTTCTCTCTCGTTGTTCACTGGTCTCCAGAGACTGGGATCTGATAGTTGTCGTCGATGTTGGTTATAACCCCTCTTGTGGTTCGGAGTTTTGCGACACTCATCCGCAGCATGGGATATAATCCTCCTCGAAATCCCGCTCGAACCCCTATCCCGAGTTTTGGGATACCCCCCCGCAACATTGGACGTACTCCTCAGCGAAGCCCTGCTCGAATCCCTATCCCAAGACACCCCCCGTTCGAGTTGGGCGAGCTGCGTGACGAAGTCCTCAGTGGAATCAATTGTTTGCTGATCTCTGGGCGGGACGAGCGCTGCAATGAGGTCGCCCTCTGGATTAGGGTAAAAACGTTCCCTATCCCTGTTCGCGGCGCAGCGTTCTCTGACATCTGTGTAGTCTATGTTCCTAGCGGACACGGCATATTCCCGGGTAGCCTCAGGGTTGCGGCCCGCCCCTGGAAGAGAGATGCTGCGCCCAATCTTCCATGTACTGGTAGTTTTGGTCCGCCCTCCACTCCTCTATTCTTTTCTTGATTCTATCATATAACCAAGAGTGTGTTTTACCCTCTGCCGGTCTCTTCCTCCAGGCCTCGATGTCATGGTTCAAGAACGAAAGGTGCCGCACCTTACTATGCAGGATATCCCCCAGTTGCTCATCGGACCATGTGCCTCGCCCCGTCGCTTCAACCCGCACGCGCACACTATCCCATTTGTCCATGAAAACGTCCAGACTATCCACCTCGCATTGACCTGAGTATTTCTCACACGCAGTACAAGACAAGGCCTCGTTCAACACCTCCTGCTCCCTATTGGGAGAAACGCTGTAAAATCTCACCACCATGCTTAGTAGCCTCATAGCCGACATTGTCTCTCGCCCAACCGTTCGCTTGAACATCTCCCCCTGCACTTTACTGGCCAGACTCGTTGATTTGATCATATTCCGCAGCCCTTCCCATAGCTTGTTTTCCAACGCCGCATACTTCAATGGTCTATCCAATTCGCTTTCACTCATATCCCTAACACGCAGAATCGTGGAGTATCCGTACTCCCCGTCGTAAATGTACGCGCTTTTCACCGCCCGGGCCACTTCCCCAAGCCACGTGTGTAGATTCGCCGGATTGGGCTCCTCAGGAAGGATCATATCAAAGCACTGGTATACTATCCCTAGATACTCCCGTCGCCTCAACTCAGGATCAACGCCACCATGACCGTCTCCACACTGTAGTGCCTGACGCATTCTACGCTGCTCTTCGCACGTCTTTTCCACTTCAGCTACTCTATACCGCATTGCGCTCATCTCCGCCTCGATGTTGTTCCGTTTTGTTGCCGCATCTATCCGTTCAGTGAGCTCCGTGATGAGACCCTCCTGCGTCTCCTGCATGGTCCTGAGCCGCGCGTTCTCGTTCTCGAGCTGTTCGATTCTTCTCTGCGTTTGGGTTTTATACTCCCTCCATTCGCCCTTGTCCGCCGCATTCGTGTTTTGCATCTTCGCTATCGATTCACGCATCTCCTGAACCATGACTTCCAACTCTTTGATCCTCACGGATGCAACGAATGTTTTTGCGTCCTTCGCCTGCTGATCCCGCACACGCCGAAGCATCTTGGCCATCTCCGCGACATTTGCCTCTATTCCATCAATCCTCCCAGCGATCCTGACACATGTGCTCCGCGCCCCATCGTCAGCGCAATTGTTGTCAGTTCTATCAGTGCTCCTCGCGATATTCCCGCGGTCCCGACTACTGTATTCTACCACGCGTAATCTATCCCTCAGCTGCTTGTTCTCGTCCATGATTTCCGCATATTCCTTGCCCATCTTCTCAATCAGCTTTTCCGTGGCATCAACTCTCCCCTTCACGGTGCCTATATCACTCGTCATCCCATTGATACTCTCACGAATCTGTTGCAGAGGCTCCGCGATGTTCTTCGACATCGATACATCCATCGTCCCTTTCATTTGCTTGAGTTCGCCCGCGACAAACCTCACACGAGAACTCATCCTGTCAACGCTTTTCGCTATCTCTTTAAACTCGTCCCGCTCAACATGATTGGCGCTTTCGCTCGCCTCTCCACGCTCGCGGCCCAATGGTTCCACAGCCTTTGTCAACTCCTCTCTAATCCAGCTCCGTAGATCCCGAATGCTATCATTCAATTGCCGTTGCACATTGCGTTCGACATCAATCATCTCGGCACGTTGGGTTATGGACTTCTCTTCAACCTCATCCAGTCTATCGTGGATCCTCCTGAGCCCATCCCGTATCTCGTCATTCATCTCCGTGGTCGCGTTCCTGATGTCTATAGTCACTCCTTCTATCGCATCAACTCTGCCCTCACACCCTTCATATTCCGATATTCCATTTCCCCTTGCGGCGGCATCATGCGATATCCCGTTCGGGGGTTGCGGGGGAGGGGTACTTATCGTATATTCCATCTTCTTGGCCCTCGTCCCAGCATCAATCTTTGGTGACCTTGCTATGTCCGAAGATCCTTGGCTGATGTCTCCTATTCTCCCATTTAGCGGCGCGTTCCCATTCAGTCTATCCAACACTATCCCAACGTCGACTGCACCACCTTCTGGACCGGCCGAATGTTTCGTCCTATTCCCTGTCCCCTGGCGTTGTTCCACTCTTCGACCCTCAAGAAATGCCAACATCACGTCACTGCTGTGGTCGATGCTATTCCACCCAATGCTCAATCCTGCGTTCCTCGCTCCGAGCTCTATCCCCTTTGCGCCACCCATACTCCCCAGCCCTATCCCATCGCCACCACTTCGATCATTGCCCCACTCGTCCACATTAGCGATGGTCTGCTCCTTCTTCTTCGGCCCGTCAAGTCGTCCCGAGACCTCTCTGAGCTCTCCAGTGATTTTTGGGCCAGGTCGTCCCGAGACCTCTCTGGTCTCTCCAGGGATTTTTGGGCCAGGTCGTCCCGAGACGTCTCTGGACTCTTGAGGGAAGTTTGAGCCAGGTCGTCCCGAGACCTCTCTGGGCTCTTGAGGGAATTTTGGGCCAGGTCGTCCCGAGACCTCTCTGGACTCTTGAGGGAAGTTTGAGCCAGGTCGTCCCGAGACCTCTCTGGGCTCTCCAGGGATTTTTGGGCCATGTTGTTCCGAGTCTATCCCCACCCTCATGATCCTTTCAACGCGTTCATCTCGCATATCTCCCAGCTCCGCCGCCGCATCACTTCTACGAATATCCCCATGAACTCGCGCATCGTGTCCATCAAGACCTTGAGGATCCTTCACCCATCGATCGGCGCAACTATCCCCATGAACTCGCGCACCTATCCCAAGAGTATCCCGATCTCCGCCGTCTCCATCAGGACCAAAAGGATCCCATCTATCAACTCCATTGTTTGCTATCCCAACATCATCCGATCTCCGAGCATATCCCAAGTCGCTCCGTCCATGATGCGATTCCTCCAGGCAGCCGTCTCCGGCTAACATATCTTCCTCGACAACCCCGCCAAAAACACTCGAAGGCCCTGATATCCCATCATCCGCCCTAGGAGTCGTTCCATCTGAAAGGCTCAGATCCCATGGTCCTCCTCGTTCCTGACTATCCCCAATGCCTGACAAGTCAAACGCTTTGTCGTCCCCGCTCGCATTCTTCCCAAGTCCATCTCCATCTCCAGCGCACCCATCGTACATTCCGTTCCCTATTCCTGCGGGGGTGCGTCCACTCCCCACATGTCTATCCCGACCCAAATCCATATATCCCTCTCGTGCCCGCTCGTCGTTCCACATGTCCGTCATGACGTTGAACTATCCTCGCCTCGCCTTCGGCTCAGTCGGTACAGAAACTACAAGGCTCTTAACCTGTGCGAAGTGTCCAAATCAAGGAAAACTTGCGCGTCGAAGAACTGAAAAACTGTGTCCACTATTCCGGTTGATCAGACCCAAGTAGACAAGGAAGTTGGTTATTTACAGTTGTGAGGTGTTAAGTTGCTCCAGAAGTAACAGTATCCCTGTCAACGGGGAACACGAGGTAGCTAGCCAAGTATTCCAAGCCACTCCCGACGTTAACTATCGGAAGGATCCCCAAAGTTGCTATCTCCAGGGGGTGGTAACCTATCGTTCAAGATGTATCCACTAGCCGTCCGGCTGCGTGTTGTACACCTATCCCAATATTCACCTGAACAGCCACCTGCCCTCAGTATCCTCCGGCCTCCGGCTATGAGTTGTAAAGAGAACAGATAACTATCCCAAAGGTTAGGGAAGGATCTATCCCTCGTCAACGCTCGATCCTTTTAGCTCCTCTGGCCTCCGGCTGCGAGTTGGCTAATCAGATCCACAACGTACAGGGACACTATCCACGGGGGCGAAAAGAAACTGTACAGGCGGGGCGCAGCTACACGTACGAAGTCAAGAAACAAACAAAAGAGAAAGGTGAATGAATGTACAGTGTGCTTATGTTGCTGTCTTGTTGCCCTGTAAGCCCAGACAGCAACAGCACACGAAATTCTATCCAGGCCCCTCCATCTATCCCAAGGCTCAGTGCGCTATTCCGGCTCGTCCGCGAGGAGGTCGACATCTATCCCGGAGCAAACCCGAAATCAACTGACATCAAAACAATTGCTCCCCCGAAAGTACCTGAAAGACGTGGTGCGAAACAGGTCATAGCTTTTGGACGCCTGGGCTCGTGAAATATGCAAAGCTGTCGTCGCTCTATGTCGCGTTTGCATTTCTGGGCCTCCTTGTTTGGAGCGAGTCGACGCTGACATAACTTTCGATGTGTCTAACCCTTCTGATGTGTCAAACGACGGACGTAACTCAGATGGTCAGCTCTCTAAGTCATGGTCCCCTTTTGGGTACCCTACATGGGGGCCGCCTGATAATCAGCAAATCATAGGGGCCGCCTCATAATCCGGAACCCAAAAGGGACCCTAATTTCGAGTGGCCAGATGTCTCGTTTAATGTGAGCGAGACGCGTCAAGCCTCGACGGGATCTCGGTCACGGCAGCGGGGAGCTTCGAAGCTCTTGGAGGCAAAGGAGCCTTAGGGTTTAGGGTTTAGGGTTTAGGGTTTAGGGTTTAGGGTTTAGGGTTTAGGGTTTAGGGTTTAAGGGCCATATGCCCTAGACCACGGTAATTCCTATTAAGGCAAATGTACCATACACCTTTTGGGGGTTCGTTTGGTCCCCAAGGAGGGGGGAGAGGGGTAGGGAATGGATCAGGCGGTTGGGGGTCAGGGGGGGGCAAGTCTTGTCTTGCATGACTTGCAGTGGACTAGCCAAGTGCGGCCGCCAGTGCAACAAGGTAGCACTTGCGAGTCCGAGAAGTAGGACACCCCTGTTCAAGCCCTCAACCTCGCATTCCAAATCGAAAAAACCCAAAAACCTACATGCTGAGCCCTACGAAATGGCATTATATGGCGTGGTGGTGCTTGGTGTGTAGCAGTTGGCGAAATTGACAGACGCTCCGCCTGGAAGCACCTCACAGTACCCGTCAATCTGTCCAGAACCCTGAACGAGCTAAGGCTTAGGGGCTTGGTTGGATTGCGGTTCGTTTCACTTGTGCCCCCCCCCCCCCCCCCCCCGTCCGGCATCCTGAGCCCGGGGGGGCCGCCGAACATCCATGGCTTGCCTTCAGTGTTTGTCACAAGGACCCCGGCAGAACCGGGTCGGTTTAGGGTTTAGGGTTTGGGTTTGGGGTTTAGGGTTTAGGGTTTAGGGTTTAGGGTTTGGGGTTTAGGGTTTAGGGTTTAATTAGGGTTGTTCCGGGATTTCGCACACAGGGTCGACTGAAATCCGCTTCGACCAACAACGATCTTCAGCCTGCATAGGTCTGATTGCGGACGACCCGCGCTATGTCGCGTGAAGCTCGCGTTTTGCAACGAGCAAAACACTTCTTCTCTCTATACTGATCGGCTCAGGCATTGTGACGTGCCTCGAGAAGTCCATCGCCACAGTCGGGTTCCACGATGATGGACTATACTCCCCTTAGAACCTTAATAAAAATAATATTTTGAATATCCCCTTGGGTTTTACATGAACAAAAATAAAAATTAACTCCCCAGGGGGATATAGTGGGTTGGTTTCGGTCCGAAGGTCGGGGGGCGGCGAACAAGTCCTGGTTTGTGAGTAGCGGCGATGACTGCGTCATTCGACCAGTTGGAACCCTAAACCCTAAACCCTAAACCCTAAACTACGCATTCAAGAATCTGCCGCTCGAATGGACTTCAGCGGCTTGGGCCTCGGAGGCTCGGGAGCGAAGCTCAGCGGACGCCGTACAAGCGCGCAGCTCATATTGGGGTTTAGGGTTTAGGGTTTAGGTATATGAGGGATACCCCTAAGAAAATCTGGAACCCTCAACTGAGGCCCGGCAAACCCGCAACTTTTCCTTCGACCATGCGCATCATCACTCTCTGATGAATGCCGAAGCTTTCTGCCGCACCGCCAGACATGGGTGTCGACAGGGGTCAATCGCTTTCAGACATGAGCAGCGCAATCGCCAGATCCATATCCCCTTCGCAAGTGGCGGCAGCCTGTTGACATTTCGCCTCTGGAAAACCCATCTCCCTCAAACGAGCAACAATCCTCGGCGTTGTGGCGAGAGCGTTGAAATCGAAAAAATCTACGTTCCTTACATTCCTTCTTCGGCAGGAACACGAACAGAAACTCTAAGATTTAGTTGTCCAGGAACCTGGGGGCACTAAAGGTTAACCGTTGGGATTAGAAGGGGATTATGTTACCCCAAAAAGGTTGAAGGTTACCTACTCTACTACATTTAAATGGGATTATACTACCCCAAAAAAGGTTAAAGGTCACCTACCCTGCTAGGAAGAATGGTCACGGCCCAGGATCTCCGCATTTGCTCCGGGAGCCGCGCTGGGGGGAGCCGAATAGCCACCTGGATTTGCAGAGCTTCCAAATGGGTTCAAGCTGCCACCTTAGTTGTCCAGTAACCTTGGGGAAATAAAGGTGCTAACCTTTGGGAGTATAAGGGGATGATGCTACCCCAAAAAAGTTTTAAAGGTTACCCACTCTACTACTAGGCCACTTCCGCTTCCACTGCTCCGAAGGTTCTTCTCCATGTTCTCGATCATGCGAAGGAGGTGCTGGCCTTTTGCTGTGGCAAGTTGGTCACCAAAGTTGAGGATGCGATCTGGGAGGCCTTTGTTAAGGAGAAACTTGGCGACATCGCTTGCAAAGTGATTGCAATTGTGGTTTAGCAGGTTGTAGTTTTGCTCGTTGTGCTCGAGGGAGAGGACAGTGTTGATGTATGTCTCTAGCTCTTCGCGAGTCTTCGCTGTCTCGCCTAGAACCAGAGTTTCTACCACTGGAACTGGCACAGACATCCCGGGAGTATCACAAATAGATGGCCCGCCGCCAAAGAAATACTCGCGCCCGAAGATGACAATGCCAGTGTGAGGTACGAAGTCAATCTGTTGGCCAACAAGCATCATTGACATGCTTTTCGCCATGCCCTGGGTGATGTCGTACACATACCTTAGGTGCTGAGTTCCCTAGGGGAAAAAGGTTAACCCTCGGGTGTTAAGGGGATTTAGAGTTACCCAAAAAAAGTAAAAGGTTACCCACCCAGCACCTAAGATACGCTTGCACAGTGTTCGCCGTCAGATGTGCCGGTGGTGCCGGCGACACGGAAAGTGGTACTGTTGAAGATGCTGTCTCCGGGACGTCATCCAGTCGTAACGGCCGGCCCATGACCGCCTCAAGCTGTGACCTCATTTCTGGATAGATTGCCAGGGTCTCCTTGGCTTCAGGCATGGCTTTCACAAAGCCTTCCACCATATCTGGGTTCGCAGCGATCATCTGCTTGACCATCGGATTTCGGAGAACCTGGTTCAGCTTGGCCGGGCTGGTGAGCATGTCGCGCACTGTCCCTTCGATGCCTCCGGCCCGGTTTGCTGCCTCGCTCTTCTCGTGGTCAACTGCAAAACTTGCCAAGTCGTCCTTTGCCGTGCGAAGTACTGCAAGGCCGTCCCACAACTTGCCCACGCACACCTGGTCAGCTGGGATTCGCCAAACTGGCTCCCCATCCTCGACTGCGTCCACGAAGCCTAAGGCTACCAAGCAGTCCTTTCCACCAGGCAGCGACGTCACCTTCTCAGCAGCCCCGTAACCATATTATAATCAGGGCACCCCTTTTTTGGTCGGTTACTTTATAAAAGGGAACCAGAACCCCAAAAAAAAGAAGGGAAAGGGGTACCATTGGGCTACCAGACCTTCTTTGTGATGGTGGTGCTGCTCTGCTTGATGGTGCGATACTTGGCCCCGCTCGTGGGGTTCCACTTCCTTGGGGGCCCAGATGAGCCCCAAAAGGGTTTTGGGGGCCTTTTCGGGTTCAGATTACCCTAGCCGGAATTATAGCAGCAAAGGGTAGTTTTTGGCTATCTCGAGGGTATATGACCCCAACTTTAGGCTTCATTTTTTTTTAAAGGCTTCATTTGGTCCCCAGGGCTCTGGGCAGCATTCTCAGCCACCTTGTGCAGGGTCAGAATGCACTCCTGGATCGCATCGGCGCTTCCATGGCCCCGCAGCTTCTCCAAAGCCTTGTCCATGAAGGAAACCAACACCAAAAAGGAATTGAGGGTTTTGTATTATGCAGTTTTTGACAAGGACGTACGTAGTTCACGAACAGCCATGAAAGAACTGTCCTGCTGAGGCAGAAATGGCAGAAGAGGAGATGTGGAGCCAAGAGCGGAGAAGCAGCACACGAATCACGATCATTCCGGCGGCCCTCGCTCCCAATCCGACTCCACTCCTCCTAGCCTTTCCTCCGGCTAAATCTGAACTCGGGAGAGCCGTTATTAGCTTTTCCACCAAACCTACTTAGTTATGCCGCAGTATTCGTCTTCTCGAAACGGCCTGATCCCTCGAAGGGTAGCCAACCTCCTTTCTTAGCTGTAACTGTTTGGGGGTTCCTCTGTCGTCATTTGTTAAGGCCTTGCAGGGCCCAGGGCTTGCCACTCGGATCTGAGGCTTGCCACTCAACACCGTGCCTTAACGTCAAAAGGCTTTCCAAAACAAGATCCATGTGACTACCGCCCTCCCGCGCGTGTATTCAAGGACGACTATCCGATATCCATGACTGTAGCTTCTGCCCGTGATGGCATTTAATTTCTTGCAAGTCTCTCAGGAGAGAAGTGAACTTGCATTTGGGGAACAGAAGTCTTCGGTGCAATGCATCAGCTTCCCTGGCAGCCTTCATTGGTAGCAACTACTGGGTCGGAGTGACACTCCCGGGACATAGCTTTCATGGGTACACATGGGTATCTAGATTCGTGGCAATACTTCTCATTCCGCCCTTGCCACAGAGAAGCTTAGGCACCACTTCCACGCAAGTCTTCCTGAACGGGCATGCCAAGTATTGCTTTGCTTGATGTTTCTGGCGGATTGCCCATCATGTGCTGAAGCGGCAAGTAAGGAGCCTCTTAACCCACTCTCTCTGTATCAGGCTGTGGAAACTCGACATCTACAACCTTTGACGAGCTTGTCCACCCGATGTTTTCCCTCGGTCCCGAACCAAAAGCCAACAGTGCGACAGTGCGCTATAGTCCAATATCTCTGTGTTACTATTTTCAGGTATGTACTGCATAACTTGGGATGTTCCCCGTTATACTAACAGTATAACAAGTTCGACATCGCGCAACCGACATCTTGGACTAGCATCGGCCCCATCACCGAAGCGGGACCCCAGTTCAGGGTTCTGGAGCCGATCGACGGATGGCTGCGGATTCTAAGAGCTGCAAACATAAAACAGAATTGACCCTCGACCCCGGCAGCCCTCACCACTTCAAGCATTTTAGAGCCTTCCTGCTCAGGGCCCCGTGCATTTTCACTTTGCTCAGACGTGAATTTGATGGGGCTGGGTGGCAAGGAAAGGGCACTTGCAGAACACCCACTGGCACCCATCGAACTCCAAGCCCTGGATGGCTCCTGTATGCAAAGCCTCCTTTGAAGTGCTCGAGGAAAACACCGCTGATCACCACTGGCACCTGGGCATGCAGGGTTCCACACAGCCGCACGATGAACACCTCGGGAGGCTCTCGCGTAGCATTCACTGGACGGACCAAAAAGCCTGACCCTAATGCCTAAACTTGAGTTGGACAAGCAACAGGCTGGCTCACCGTGAATGTATTACAAATACACTTTACACGAGCATGTATGCTGAATGTGGGATCGGCAAAGGCTCAGCGCAAGAAAACGGCATGAGACGACGTTTCAACCAACACAAACATCAACAGGTGCACCGCAAAACAAAAGAACGATAGAATACGCCGAACACACGTAGATTGAGCTTACACTGTACACAAGGTGACAGTGCAAGTTGAGATGACCTTAGCAATCCTGCCGTTTTTTCAGCGCTTTCGTCAGGCAGACGCCCCTCCAGACCTTCCTGCGTGGAGCCAAGTATTGCTGCAGGAAGGGCTCGCCAGGATGGTACTTCGTCAGAAGCCGGTCCCAACAATGGCTTTGAGGCAGTCCCAGTCTGGTCCTATCGTCTTCTCTGCACTTAGCCATTTTGGCTCAAGGCCGCGAGTGCTCAAGAGGCAGCCCCTGTGTCCCGCCTCTCAACTTGAAAACCAAGAGAGAGGGGGTGAGAGAGGGAGAGATTGCGATCCGACTTCTTCTACTTTGCGTGTGCCTCGCGAAAGTTGTCCTCCAGCCCTACGGTGACCGCTGCGGTGGGAGACATCCTCTTCCACGACTACCCGAGCCGCCACCTCCCCGACAACAAGAACACCCACGACATGGCGAACATCACCCCGACGCTCGCGAGCTCCAGCCCAGAAGGGGGCCACAAGAGAAAGGGGCTTGAGACAGTGCACGCTGACGAGGATGAATGCGGCCACCCCCACGGAGGAGATTCCCAGCCAGGAGGCGGCCTTGAACCTCACCGAAGTCCGACAAGCCCTGCGTGCGGAAGTGCAGACCTTTTTGGGGGAAATCAAGGTGGCCATGCATAGTATGGAGGACCGGATCGCCGACAAGGTCAACTTACGCATCGATGGAGTACAAGAACAGATACGTGGGGTCCAAGAGGCGCAGTCAAAAATGCAAGAGCAGGCCAATGACACGAGCTGCCGTCTGAGCCACCTGGAGGAACGCATTGCACAGCTTGAAAAGGGAAGCGCCTCGGGGTCAACCACTGGGGGACCATCTAGCCTCACGGGGCCGCTACAAGGTCGCCGCAAGGCCATCGTCATTGGGGGTTTCCACCGGACACGCCGAAGGACCATTTGCTGCAGGAGATCAACAAGTTGGTTCGTCAACTTGATCTGGACCTGAACACAGACAACATGTTCACCACAGGGATCCGTCGAGGAACCGCCATTGTCCCGATTGAGCCCAAGGAGGACGAGGATGACCGCGCGACCCAGAACCGCTTCGCTAACGTCCTTCGTCGAATCCGTGATGCGAACATTGCTTTGGGGCAAAGGGAGGATGGGGGCACACGACGCTTGTGGGGGGCCTTCTCGCAGACTTTGGAGCAGCGTCAGCGCAGTGCCTTTGCCGGCAAGGTCAAGAGGCTCGTGCTCTCCCTGTCTCCTGGCGCCGCTGTCGGTCCTATCGTCTCTCTCTCTCTCCCTCCCTCTCCCTCCCCTAGAACGACCTTCAGAACCCCGACTCTGGATGAGGCAGATGATTATGTGCACGTGCGTATCTAGACATAGCTTGGATGCATGAATATATGTGTATATATATATATATATATGGTAGCATGTATATATATATATATATACAGATACATATGCCTTATGAATACAGAACCACACGTTCAACCTTCAGATGCACACTTGCCCCCTGGCATGGTCCTCGTGGCACGTGAGCAATTAAAAGTCCAGAACGGATGTTGTGGCGTGACAAGAGCTTTTTGGCGCTGCAACAACTGCTACGTTGCCAAGGGATGCACCTGAAACCATCAACTGGATGTGCTTCAAGATACTGGGCATGGCCTGAAACAGCACAGGAGGCGAAAGCTCGGTCTCGATTGCTCTCTGCGTGCGAATTGCGAGACAAGCAGTGCTAGTGCTGGATCTCCCTCTTTTGAGCACACCTGCCAACTCTGCTTACCGACCAACGTGCGGTGTCGCTTCGGACACTCATACGAATTCGTGCGCATCTGAAACGTCAACCTCAGTTGCATCCACCACTACACAAGCTTCGGCACAACCGTATATGCACTCTACTGTCTACTGACTGCGCTTGGGTGCAACCTCAGCGAATGCCTTCCCCAAATCTGACTCCTCCGGGGCATGGATATACTTGCCGTTGAGAAGTGCGGCGGCCAGCCGCAGCTGGTTGAAATCCCGGTCCTCCCCAAAGCCAATGCAATAAGCTTTGGCGATTCCATCCCCATGTTCCTCCACAAGTGCTCGAGCAGCAGCCTGCCAACACTCGTAGTCGGGCACTCCATCGGTCATGAAAACAAGAACATGTCGGTGATGCTGGTAAGAACGGGCACGCTCATTCAGAAGAGCAGATGCCTCAGAGAAGCCTGCTAGGTAGGAAGTAGATCCCCAGCTGTCGTTTGACTCATAGCGAGTGATCTGATCAGCACACTCAGCCGCTGTGCCGAATTCCACTCCGCGCCAGGCAGAGTGGCGAAAGAAGACAATGGAGTACCGATCAATGGATCTTCCTGAAAAGTTCACCCAGTCCTGGGCTGCACGGCACAGCTGGCTCCACTTCGCACCCGACATGGACCCAGACTTGTCCAAGACGAGGAGATAGTGATGCGGGGTAGCTTGGATGTCGCCTTGCTCACCAAGGTCTGTATATCGAATTCCGTACTTCTCGCAGAATATGGGGCCAACCTTGGGCCAGGCACTGTAAGCCCTGGCCTCCTGGCGCAATCGATTCTCTGTGTCAAAGTGATTGGAAAAGTCCCAGTCGGGATTCTTCTCCTTGAATTCAACCCATTTCATTCTCTCGCCTGTCTCATCCACAAACTCGTCTTGGTCCTGGATCTGCGAACAAATCCGTGTTGATGCCGTCTTGTGTCCATCCTGAAGTTTCGACTGGGGAAGAAACAGTGATGCAGCTTGATCATATTCGTGGGTGAAGCACTAGGATAAATTCCTCCTACTTAGGCCGTGAATGACAATACTGCCAGTCTCTTCAAGCTAATGGCGGGCTGAGGCAACGTGTCTGTGTTCACATGGCAACTTCTGCTGACGAAGGCATTCGTCATAACAAGTTCGGGATAAAAACAAACATGCACGTTTGACTGCTATTGCGGTCCTCCAGGTGAATTCCTCGAAATCCACGCGGTAGGTGGCCATGGGCACAGCAATGTACATGGTGTTTCCCCGTGTCTGAATTGTCGCACAACTTGCCACAACAGGGACATGTTGCAGAGCAAGGAATGATCTTGTCCTCCAACTGCCCACACATATTGGAGACCTGCTGCTGCAGTTCCAGGTCGCCTGGCAGATTTTCACGCGCATCGGCCATCTTTGACTGAAGGATTCCCATCAACGCCTCCAGAAATTCATGTATGTTGGAAATCTTTGCCAGCTCAGTATGGACTGCATTGCGGATGCCGTCCCTGAGGTGGTCTGGGATGGGGTCGTGCCTGTCAGGCAGGCTGTTCTTCTTTAGCGTGACGATGAATTCCTGCTCAACATTCTGGTCATCTGGGTTTGTAAGGCACCATTGCGATCCGGTGCATTGGTTGAGAAGGGAGTCTGACACGTATTGAAAAGCAGCACGTTGCTTCAACTGCTGAGACTGCATAGGGCCATCAATCTCACACTGAATTTCAAAGAGCGAATTGCTGTGAGCTGTGTCTCTTTCAATGCGGGGGTCGCCATGCAGTCTTTCGACTCTGTGAAGAAGGTCCCTCATCGCCTTGAAGTAGGTCAGTTCCCTCCGTTGATCTATCGCTGGTAGAACATGCTCGACTCTGATGGCTTCAAACTCAGTACGAACCACTTTCTGAAGCTCACGGACAGGATCTCCAATCCAGGCTTCTTGCATCTTCAGGTCATCTGTGCCTAAGGACGAATCTAGCCTTTCTTGGAACTTCTCCCTTGTGAGCCCGGCCGTCTTTTTTGACACCAACGTCTTGACCTCCAAAGGGATCTCCCTGCTGAGATGCTGTAAGAGGGTGAGCTCAAATCCGTCAGCAAGAATCTCAGCCATGTTCCGATCGGCATGATCATCCTGCAAGAGCATTCCAACAAAGTATTCCCGCTGCTTGTCGTGGGATTTCTCGAACTCTGCAATCGGCATCTGAAACTGCTGCCAGGCTGAATCGATCAATCGCTGCCAGGCGTGGATGAGTGCTTGTGAGTGCAACTCACCCTGCCCTTCACGGGAAAGAGTGCAGCCTAGCAACTTCAAAGACTTGTTGACCTCTTCTACCACCTGGGTGACCTGCCTGGCCACTTTATTCATAAGATTCAGGTCAGGTCGCCGACATTCATCCAAGAACTTGTCCAACCCATCCGCCAGCCTGTGGAAGACTTTCGTCCAGTCCACTGCCCCAAGCGAAAATGATTTGACTTGCTCAGGACGGGGCTTTGCAGCTGTTGTGGGATCAACAAGCCAGGCGCGCACTGCTGACTCAGCATCACGCTGGCCATGACTGGCCACATGGCGTCGCTGGCTTCTTTCAATCCCAGTTTGTTCGCTGTGGACAATAGGCCGCGTGGACTGCTTAGGTTGCCTTTCCCACTCGGATCGGGATTGTGGAAGCAGAGCAGCCACGACTTGCGCGCCGACATACTTCAGAAGCGAGCTGCATTTCTTGACCTGCTCATCCAAGTCCTGGATACTCTCTGACCTCAGCACGATCTGCACTCGAGTAGGGTCGCATTGCCCCCAAGGAAGCACTGGACCAGAACGAAGCTGCAACCAGTCGATTCGAGGCTGAGGGGGGTCACCGGAGTGTGCTTCTTGACAAACAATGCCAAAATTCCTCAGCTGACTCTCACCTGTGGGATACAAGTTGTAGCAGCTCTGCAGGAAGCTGTGGCTGAAGTCCTTGTACTTGAAGCCTTGCTTCATCTTCTGAATGATGTTTGGCCAGATCTTGTCGAACTCTGCATTCAAGAGGTCACGTGTGTATCTTGGTTCCTGCGGCATTCGCCTTGCCAATTCCCGAATCTTCTGCGTCAACTCCTCGTGCCCGTCCCTGCAAGCTCGCCTCACATCCTTCTCTTGAGAAACGGTGTTGACTCTTTGCACCCACTGAAAGCGGGTGTTTTGTAAAGAGTCTTCCAAGACACCTTCCAGCCTCTTCTGCAACGCGAGGCTGCACTTCAACTTCTCAGCCTCGAGTCGAAACTTCTCACGCAAAGGGTCAGCGACTTCCTCGAAATACTTCCGCGCGTGATCAGCAGCATCCTCATAGAAAGGAAGCTTGCAGGCACATTCCAGCTCCTCTTGATGGCGTGTACCTTCCTCCTGCAGTGGAAATGACTCGGAAGTGTGCTCATTGATCCATTTCCGGAGATGACGGTCGTGCTGAACTTGCTTGATGTCTGCAAAGTATGTCAAGTCAGGATATCTGGAAATTGTCTGGAAAATTGTGTGAGCCATCTGCAGCCACTTCGATGGGCTAACTGGCGGCTCCGAATCTGAGCTGCTGGTAGAGGTCTGTTGCCTCAAGGCTGACCGAAGATGTACGCCTGCATCGCAAAAGCTCTTGCTCTGGCTCAAGCGCGTCCAATCCACACCACTCTTCTGAAAGGTCTGACGAACATCCGAATTGTACATGGAAGGCACCACAACAATGTTGGAATCATCCAGCTGCACCTGGTTCTTGATTACTTTCTCATCAGCCTTGAACGTCTGTTCCACCTCATCTGCCAATCGACGGAAACCTTCGCGGTGGTGTTTCGGATCAGGATCTGCAACTTGGTTCATGACCCAACGAAGCACTGGGCACGGAACCTTTGCCATCTCCAAGTTGTGGAGAGCGCGGATGCAGACCTCAAGCAGGCGTTTCAATGGCTCGCTCATGTTTCCCTTGATGTTGATGTCGACGTGGTTTGAAACTGCAAACGCGAACAACATTACAATGCGATCCTTGGCTGACTCACAGCCGCATCAATGTCTGAAGCTTCGCATGTCAAGTGCAGCAGGTACACCGCGCATGCAGCACTGTTGCAGTTACAACCGCGCATGCAGCACTGTCGCAGTTGCGACATGATGCACATGGACGACGGCTCATGCCAGAACTAGGAAGCTGAGATCCGCACATACTCTGGATCCGCCTTCTCCACTGACTGCAGGCCTTCGGTGTCAAGCACCAGAATGTTGCGATCCTCCATCCGAATGAGCTGGCCCCAAACACCGCGAGTGCAGCGGCCCTCAGACACTTTGAAGCTGCAACCATATTTGCGGTTCATCAGCGTGGACTTCCCGGAACTCTGCGGTCCAAGCGTGCACTCTACGACAAAAGGTTTGTTGCACATCCTGTCCTCCAGGATTTGAAAGACTCGGTTGAGCATACCAAATTGAAAGTGCATTCTCTCCCCGTCTATCACCTCAAATGGCTCGCCTGCCCAGATCTGCTCAGCAAAGGCCGCTGATAGCTTGTGCTTCTTGTTCTCTGGGATTTTGCTAGCAGCGACAAATTGCATGGTTTCTTGCATCAGGCAGTTCCACGATACTTTGGTTTCGGGTTGGTGCCCCATGCATCTCCATGCACTTCTTGAGGCCCACCAACGTTTCAACCTTGCTGTCGCAGAGCTTGTCCATGAAGCGCTCAGTTGTTGTGGAGGGAGTTGCGCCAAGCATTTGCTCCTTGACCTTCTCTCGCTCCACAGTCCACATCTGGATGCTGCTGCACTGCTCTTGGGCATGGCGCGAATTCAGCTTCTTCTCCAGGTCGCAGAAGTGATCATGAAGCGGCGTCATTCGCAAGATGTCTTCTTTGGTGCTGGACAACATGGAGTTGCCGAATCCCTCAGCGCCACTGGCATCCTCGAACTTGACATCAAGCAGGTGCAACAAGTCTGCTCGCGTAAACAGCCCGTCTTCTTCATTCCACATCTGGTATGGTCCAGGCATGCCAGTGGTTGAGACAGTGCCTAAACTCAACGTCACAGGTTCCAGGAGTTACTTGCGAAGGCGATTCACATTGACCTTGCTTTGCTCGGAATTCTGATTCGTGAGGTCTGGCACCGGCAGGACTACAAGCTTCTCATGGCTGAAGTTACCAGTAGCACTTGCCGCGGCACTTGGAGCATCCCGCCCCAGAATGATGACGCACCTTGTCCGAGCTCCTTCAAGAATCTGCGAAATGTCATGGCGATGTGCTTCGGAGTTGAGATCTGCAAACCGCATGTGAACCACAAAGAACTGGAAGATGTCTTTGGCTTTGTGAAGAAAGGAGGCGTCGATCGTGCCATGTGCGTCAGCAACCGCGAAGCCTCTTCCTGGTCTCATGAAGTCTTGGTCAAACTGTATTTGAACATACCCAGGCATCGCAGAATGAGTGAGGTCAAAATCAGTCATGAAGAGCGAATTGTTCAAGGACGATGCTCCGACTGGGGCATCCACAAGCGCCATGCTAAGCAGCAAAGGCTGCTCTGGCATGCTCCAGAAGAGCTCGGCGCAGGACTCCTTCGGGACAACGGGCGAGATCAGTGGCACGGGGTGCTCCCTGGAATGAGCGGCCAGCAAGGTTCTGCAACTGCTTGCTGGCACGACATTCAAAAGCCATTGAAGAAGTATGTCTTTTGTTGGCAACGACCTCCCAAAGATCTTGTCAAACTCTGGCGAGATATGAAGCTCGTTGACAAAGGAATCCCAAGGATGCCCCACCTTCAAGTCATTCCAAAGCCGAAGAGCAAGCTGTGTCCAAGCCGGAGGAGAAGCATCGAACAGTGCAGCCTGGTCTGCTTCATGTTCCAGATGCGTGATGCCGAAGATTGACTCATCGCACTCCAGTTCAGAAGGCAGCTTCCGGAACATCTCAAGTGTGTGGGGTTTGCACTCGGCAGTTCGCCCTTGAACGAATGACATTTTGGCAAGGCGTTCGTACTCAAGCAAATCAGCCTGCTGCTGACGGTATACCTCACACCCGATGAGAGCTGCCTCGGGGATGGACTGCTCATGTGCTACCTGCTGCATGACGCGCTGGACGTCTTCCCGCATCAGTGTGGCCGACCACTGATACTGGCGCAGAGCGGCATGTGCAAAAGCAGGACTTGCTTGAACGCCTGCAGGCAGGAGTAGCTTGTGGCTGCGTAGTCTGTTCCGCAATGTGACTTCGCCACTCTGCAGCAAAGCCTTGAAAGTCCTTTGCTGCCACCATGTTTTACCCTTGACCGCAGCTGTGGCAACAAGGAGGGCCCCGCCTACAACTGCAATCACTTCTGGCTTCTTTGCCCATGCAATTTCGGCCGGCTGCGGACTACCAGTCGCAGGAGCCAACACAGGTACTGTTAAGCTCAGCTTCCTTTGATCTTGAACTGTTTTGAATGCCGCAGCTGGTTGCAAGTATCCTGGAGGCAGCCCAAGCTGGTAGGAGGGCTCAGCTTTATCAGAGAAGAAAGCTGCCTTGATTTGCTGCTGCATCTCTGCTTCCGTGCGCGGAAGTTGGCACTGCTTGCTCTCTGAATGAACAAGTTTTCCATCTTGGACAGCGTGGAGAGCATACTCCACCGTACCCGGCCCAAGGGCTCGGTAGAGCACATAGACACCTGCAAGCCCAGCTGCCCCGGCTGCACACAGTGTCCACCAGTGTGCTGGAACATCCCCGTCTCCGGGGTCTGGGATGAATTCCCAAGGCTGCGCATCTGAACCACTGTTCGCTGGTGAACTCGACATTGCCGTTTCGTGGTGTCTCCCGAAAGAGAACCACAAAAGACTACAGTAGTGATCTGGAACTTTCATGGGCGCAGAAATGGCAAATGGAAAGAGACGTGTCTGGCTGCGCTATCTCTGATGCGATGATGGCACAAGGCAGCATGACCAGCATTCGGCACTGCATAGGAAATTCCTGTCGCCTATATCTGTTGAACCCAGGCCTCAAGGTACAGGTCGAGCCCACAACATCCAGCGCCTGAAGCTGACTCTCACAAGCATGACCCAGACTCCTTAAACCCTGCGCCCCTCGAAAGCCTTGCAACGAAAGCCCTGCAAGTGAAGCCCTGACTCTTGATTTTTCAGGCCGCGGTACGTGGTACAAGGCCTGCCATGCCCTCGCATCAGCAGCAGGACCTTCGGAGAGGTCGGGCTTGCAAGGTCAAAAACCACAGGTTCGGCAACGGCGCCATCCCCCCTGTTCCGCCCATGTTCATTCGAGTTCTTCGAGCGATTCCAGCGACTCGTCATCGTCCGGATCTGTTGAGTCGTGCGTGTTGCACTGCCAGTAGTAGCACATAGCATGGCATCAACAGCAGCAGCAGCCGCGGCGGCGGCAGCAGCGGCAGCGATGGCAGCTAATAAGGAATTAGAATTACGGTCGCGAGGAGTTTTAGAACGTGCGAGCGGAGTCAATCATCAACAGTGTACGGCTTACGG